AAAGAAAGAAAGAAAGAAAGAAAGAAAGAAAGAAAGAAAGAAAGAAAGAAAGAAAGAAAGAAAGAAAGAAAGAAAGAAAGAAAGAAAGAAAGAAAGAAAAAGAAAGAGAAAGAAATCACCCCTATCTCAGCCCAACGCTGTCTCAGTCTTGTCTGAGAGTGGCCTAGGTGGGGAGAGGGAAGCAGAGCCCCCCCCAGAGCTGAGCCAGATGGTTAAAAGGTGGAGGCTGGCAGGGAGAAGCTGGCTGCCAAATGCGGGCTCCAGCAGCGCGCAGGGGAGTGAGGAGGCAGCTTTTCTGCGGCCCGCGGGGACTGCGGGGCTGCGGCGGCTCAGTCTGAGCCGGGGAGGAGAATTAGAGCGAGCAGAGCTGCAGCCCTCACTGAGTATCCAGCCAGATAGAAATGCACCTCGCTGTCTTTTGTTACAGCTATGTGGGTTTTTTGTTGTTTGTTTGTTTTGTTTTCGTTAATCTGCATTTTCTTTTTTCCTTGTCTGTGTTTTTGATCTGGGCTTTTTTTTAAGTGGGTGGCTATTTTGCTCTGCCAACGTTTAAGTGCTTTCCCGTCGCCTCCTCACCGCTTCCCAGTTCACCATGCCGGGTTTGGCCGGGGCTAAGGGCTCTTAGGAGACTTGAACGGCTGCGGCTTTTGCTAAGGCAGGTGCTGCCTGGGGCAGAGAGATCCGCACAGGAAGGGCCACTCCAGCCGCTCCGCGGTGCCCTCTCGGGCCATCGCTTGTAGGTCTCTCAGGCGACAGGCGAAGGGGAAGCAAAGTGAATTTGCTCAGTCCCTTTCTCCCACTTTAGGGACAGCTGGTGTTTCCTTGGCCACGAAACAAGGCAAGACAGAAGGAAAAAAAAAAAAGAGAGAGAGAGAGAGAAGAAGAAGGAGAAGAAGAAAGGACAATTGCGCTCAGGGTTGAGGAGCAGTTTCCGAAAGGGGCAGAAAGGAGGATAACTGGCCCCTTGTGCATTGAGAGGCTCTTACATAACGAACAGGGGGAAGCGGAGGGTCGTGAGGAGGGTGCCGTTTATTTGTTCGTTTCCCCCGGAGGAAATGCCGAGCTCACGGCGGGGAGACTCTCCGGGTCTCCGCTTGCAGGTGCAGCCTCACGGCCGGACACGGCGAGGGCGGCTCGGGGATGATGTGGGCAAGAGACGCCCGAG